AAGAGAAAATGTGTTGATGTTTCTGATGTCTATACACATGCCAAATAGGTAAATCACTGTTAAGGATTGTTGGAAGAAGCTTGCAATGATCAAATATTAAATGTCAGATTACTTATGCAAATATGTTGGCATATAAAGTCTCGATAAATAAAGAATTTTTAACAACAGTTTCTGGAAGGACGAAGAGGGAGTGAGTTTCTGGATGAGAAAATATCTATCTTCCTTTTTTTAAAAACAGTACCCTTCTACATTTTCCTTAAATTAATTCATGCTTTTAGCAGATCCAATTGGATTTGCAGCAGGCATATAGAAAGTAACTGCAATGTCATCTTAATGCTATATTTCCTAATCATTTTAAGACCGTAAGGCATAGCAGTAGAAGCAGGCCATTCAACCCATCGATTCTGCTCCACCATTCAATAAGGTCATGGCTGATATGATAATCCTCAACTCCACTTTCCTGTCTTTTCCGTATAACCCTTGGCTCCCTTATTGATTAAAAATCTGTATATCTCAGTCTCGAATATACTTAGTGATCCAATCTCAACAGCCCTCTGTGGTAAAGAATTTCACAGATTCACTACCCTCAGAGATGAAATTGCTCCTCACCTCTATCTTAAATGTGCGGCCATTTATTCTGAGATTGTGCCCTTTGATCCTAGACTCTCCCACAAGGGGAAACAACCATTCTGCATCTACCCTTTTATCTAAGAATCTTGTATGTTTCAATATAGTTGCCTCTTATTCTTATAAATTCCAATGAGTATAGGCCCAATCTACTCAATCTCTCTTCATAAGACAGTCCCTTTATACATGGTATCAGCCCAGTGAACCTTCTCTGGACTACCTCCAATGCCAAACAACTGCCAAATCTTAAACAGACCATTGTTTGGAGCAAACTACTTAGCCTTCAGGACAACATCGACCACAGCATTATACCGCCGTGTCATGGTAACCTCTACGAGACATGTCAGATCTTCGACATAGACACTACCATTACACGTGGGAACAACACCCACCACATGCACGGCAGATACTCCTGTGACTCAGCCAACGTTGTCCATCTCATACACTGCAGGCAAGGATGCCACGAGACATGGTACATTGGCGAGACCATGCAGATGCTACGACAACGGATGGATGGACACCGCACAACAATCACCAGACAGTGATGTTCTCTCCCCTTGGAGGAGGACTTCAGTGGTCAAGGGCATTCAGCTTCGGATCGTCAGGTAAACACCCTCCAAGATGGACTTTGGGATACCCAACAACGCAGAGTCGCCGAGCAGAGGCTGATAACCAAGTTCAGTCCCCATGAGAACGGCCTCAACCAGGATCTTGGGTTCGCACTACAGGTGACCCCACCACAGTATACACACACACACACACACACACACACACACACACACAGAGAAACACACACTGTCTTTCCCCTGCCCCCCCCATACACACACACACGTGAATCTATAGGGTGGATTTGTATTTGCAGATGCATTTTATTTTCTTCAAAAAGCACACAATTTATAGACAGTCAGTCAATGTGGTGTTTTATAAATTCCTACTTTAGCAATAAAACTAATAAAACAAGACTCCAAACTAAAACACAAACAGATTCTAAACAAGGTGTCAGACCTAGCATGCATTGTCTGATCTAAAATGTCACCTCTTCTTACGCTGATAAAATCTTTAATTCTCACAGGACCGTGACTTGAAAGGAATTCAGGATTTGCATTTACATATTAATCAATTAAAACCTTCTAACTGATGAAAGATTTAACAGCTCTTAGGTTTATTTAGTACATCCTCATCAATGGTGAGAACCTTTGATCTTTTACTAATAAATTCTGTGTCTGATACTACCTCTCTCACTGACACCAGAATAAGGACTGAGACTTTGAAAGCTTGTGTTCTCAAATAAACCTGTTGGACTATAACCCGGTGTTGTGTGATTTCTGACCTTGTCCACCCCAGTCCAACACCGATGCCTCCACATCAATACGTCTTTCTACAGATAAAGGGCCCAAAACTGTGCACTGTATTCCAGTTGCGGTCTGACTAGTGCCTTGTATAGTTTTAGCAAAACCTTCCTACTGTTATACTTTATTCTCTTTGAAATAAGGACCAACATTCCACCTGCCTTACTTATGCCTGCTGAACTTTGATGCTTTTTTTCGATATTGAAACTGTATTGTTTAAGCTGATGTTCTTAGTACAGCAACTTTGTTTTAACCAGAACCTTATGAACCAGCATTCTTGATAAACCGACAAAATTATATACTTGAAAAACCGTAAATTTACCGTATTGTCGTGATCTCTGCAATGTCCAATTAGTCAGTTGAGCGTATGAGTGAGAAGGCTCTCCGTTGATTTATGCTGTAAATGAAGTATAACAGTGGTATATATACCCCCTGCATTACATTTCTGGGGAGGCAATGGCCTAATGGTATTATCACTGGACTTTTAATCTAGAGACCCAGATAACGTTCTGAGGACCAGGGTTTGAATCCTGCCACAGCAGATGATGGAATTTGAATTCAATAAAATATCTGGAATTAAGAATCTAATGATGACCATGAATCCATTGTTGATTATCAGGAAAAACCCATCTGGTTCACTGATGTCCCTTAGGGAAGGAAACTGCCATCCTTACCTGGTCTGGCCTACATGTGACTCCAGACCCACAGCAATGTGGTTGACTCTGAAGTGCCCTGTGGGCAATTAGGGATGGGCAATAAACGCTGCCTAGCCAGTGACACCCTCATCCTGTTAATGAATAAAACAAAATTACTTAGTGCGTGTTTTTATATTAATTATTTGGACCTCTTGATCAACCAGAATATTTGATCAACTGGTACACTCCTGGTCCCAGTGCTGGTTTAAAAAAAGTTTGCTGTATATGTCCAAAAATTCAAACTCCATTCCTTATTAATCTCACGCCTTCTTTTTCATCTAAGTATATACATAAAGCTGGAGGTTGGTTTGTAATGTAGAATAATGGGCTCAATCCAATAATGCAGCTTGGGTTCAACCTCTGCTGAAGCTAATTTGATGGAGTCTCCTTCTCAATTGCTCCCATCACCTGGGGTAAAGTGACCTTCAGGTTAAACCATCACCAGATATCTCTCAAGTGAGAAAGCAGTCCTAACCCCTGAAGTATTTATTATTGTCACATGTACCCGGGTTCAGTGAAAAAGCTTTGTTTTGCGTGCAGTACAGGCAAATCAGACCAGACAAAGTGCATTAGGGTAGTGGAACAGAGTGAGGAATACAATATTATAGCTGCAGAGAAGGTGTATGAAGAGTGAGGTCAACATTAAATTTGAAATTTGAGAGGTCCATTCAGAAGTGTAATAACAGTAGGGAAAAAGCTGTTCATGAATCTGTTGATCTGTGTATTTAAAGTTTTGCCAGCTGATTGTTGACATTTCCCTCAAGGCTTTTTTAAAATGAATACTTGGTTGATTTTTAGAAGCTAAAATTATATCAGAAGGTATTCTGAGTTCACATTGAGAGAGGTTCACATTGATTAAGTGGTTAAAGAGCTATCTTGGTGAATATGATTTCGTTTTCTAATAAGATCAAGCACTTGAAATGTAAAGATTTGATTTGGTTTATTATTATTGTCACATGTACCTAGGTACAATAAAAAGTTCTGTGTGCAATACAGGCAGAGCATACCATACAAAGATCACAGGGTGATAGAACAGAGGGAGGAATACAATGTTACGGCTGCAAAGAAGGTGCAGAAAAAGCAAGATCAGCATTAGATTTGAAATTAGAGAGGCCCATTCAGAAGTCTAATAACAGTGGGGAAGAAGTTGTTCTTGAGCCCGTTGGTATATGTGTTTAAGCTTTTGTATGTTCTGCCTGACGGAAGAGGTTGCAGGAGATTATAACTGCGGTGGGCGAGGTCTTTGATGATATTGGCTGCCTTGAATAAGCTTATCCAAATAAGTTTGCTTTTTGAATCAAGTCTATATAGTGAAATCTGCATCAAAATTATAGAGCTTTATTTGATTTCATCTTCACATGCTCCCGAAATTTGCCCAAGGTGATCGCTGGGTGAAGATGCATGAGTTCAGATGGAAGAAATAAAGAGCCTTGATTTGGATATAAGAAATTAACGGGGTTATCGGGTGTCAGGAGTTGGCAGAAGTTAGAATAAGTTGGCATGGGGCATAAAGGGGCCAAGAGTGAGAAGGAATAAGATGGCATGAGTTGGAATGGAGGGTACAAAGGTAATCAGCAGAAAGGGATAAAGAAGGAAAATATGACTCGATGGAAAAAAACCAGAGAACAAATTGCAATAAATATAGTTTCTTGCCCAGATTTGGAGACAGAGAAGTTGAGAAAGTGTTGGATAGACAAGGTGAAGATGAGAGAAAACAGAAAATTGGAAACAAAGTCGATTACATTTTCCAGTTGGTGGTAAGAAGCAGTGGCTAAACATAGAACAGTACAGCAGACTACAGGCCCTTCGGCCCACGATGTTGTGCCGACCTATTATCCTACGAAGATCGATCTACCCTGCATACCCTAGATTTTACTATCCGCAATTAAACATTACTTACATTTTAAAACTGATTATAATGTATTTTTTTTAAGTGTAAGCAGTTCTGTAAGGCAAGCAACTCCCTCAAGATATTTGAGGAGTTAAACTTGGGCTATTTCGATCTGGAGCGACTTTAGAAATTGCCTTTTTAATTCACTCCCTCACACCTTTTATTCCCGAGTGATATCACAGTTCTTTTTCAGTTTATTTCAAAAAAAAAGTTTTATGGGTGGAAGAGTTGGATTTAATAGTTCGAGAGTTAACTCTCCGAAATTATTGGTGAGCTCAGTTAACCAACAGAATTAATAAGAGTGAGCTGATCATTCCTCATTAGGCGAACTCCAATCAGGAATATGGAAATTGGAACAGCTCTGGTTAATATGGTTAATTGGAGGCACGCAATGATCGATCAATTACTTAGGCCAGCAAAGAGTATGTGATATAAAAACAAGTCTCTGCGCTAGGTTACTATATGCTTTTGTCCGTTTTGGTATGCTTAGGTTCGGAACTGTGAAAAAGAATTATCATTACTAGAGGAAAGCGAGCTTTGGATCATTGCTGTTCCTTTAAGAATTGACATGATTCCTTTTCGGGTAGCCTTGTTGCTACTGCTGGTAGTATGTTTAAACCCGACCAGGCTCGTAAATGGTGAGTAACTCAACGTTTGAAATTTAGTACTAGTGAGTTGTGGTTGTTAAACTTGAGCCCATCGCTGTGGGGCAGCAAGCAGAATTTTCTTGATCTGTTATCAAAATATCATGTTTTGATCTACTTAACCTACGAAAGGGCACCTGTGAATTTTTTGTTTTAACGTGGCGCGCATCTCTTAATGGCGATTAATGCACCAGCTCCGACTCATAATGGCCCACCAGCAGAATATTTCTAAGAAACTTTCTTTGATTTACTCAATCTTCACTTGGAATATGCTATTACTTTCTCTCGCGTCTATCCTCGCATTCATCAAATCCCGTTCAAAACAAAAACTGCTCATCGCTAACACTCCAGTAACCTCAACTGTGCACTCTTACTGGCCTTTATTTCTGGTCAAATTAAGTGTTTTATCTGATTACACTTTTTATTTTGACTATGTATCTCTGTAAAGCAGCGCTGACATGAAGGGGCCCTGTGTGGTAGTGTCCCTACCTCACTCAGGTGGCCTGAGTTCTGCTCCACTGTTGGAGGTACTTTCTCTGAACAGGCTTTCTTAAAACCCATAACTGCCATTGAGTGGGGTCATTGCACTTTTCTTCTGAAAAGTCTGTAGCCTACTATAAGCAAAGATATTAAAATTTCACTTTTTTTCTTTTTAAGGAAAAAAAGCTAGTGATGGAGTTGATAGACAAAACAAGTTGGACATGACAGAATTCCTACATTGTGGAAGCAGGTCATTTGGCCTATTGAGCTCACTCTGTCAGAGCGTCCCACCTTTTTTTTTCTCCTTTCTCTGCCTCTAAAATTCCTGTAACCCTGGGTTTCCCATGGCTAGCCCACCTAGCCTGTGTATCCCTGAATACCAAAAGCAATTTAGCATGGTCAATCTACCTAACCCACCTCTTGGACTGTGGGAGGAAATGGGAGCACCTAGAGGAAATCTATGCACAAACTTTCCAGGTACCCAGGCTAGAATCAAACCTCAGTTCCCAGGGTTAACTACTGAGCCACTACCACCCTATGGAGAGTGACAGACTCCTGTGCAAGTCTGGTAGCATTGAGTTTCTCCAGTGAATTTTGTTTGTTTTTTTTGTTTCAGCACTTCTAATTTTTAAAAAATAGAATGTTATTTTCCCACACTGCTCATCTAACATAGAACACTGTACACCAAAAGTTCTAAGCTTGTTCTAGTTTAATGGTGAAGTAGATGTGAGGAGGGAAGGCATAGTTGACTTTACTCCTGATATCAAAAAATGTTTGGCTTTCAGTGCTGAAGCAAAAAGCTGTGGCCAGTTCAAATTAGCACTAATAAGTGCTATAGTCTCCTCGTGATGGAATATTGATTCTCCAATCCATAGGCCATCCAGAGCAGTGAAACTGTATCCTGATCAGTAGTGATCTCTGAATCACTATCTCTAATATCTAACTACCCAATTGATTATGGGGCTTTGTCTAAATTAGAACAGCATTTGTTACATTAAGGGTGTCATACTTAATGTGCCAATAGTTGTGTAATCTCTTAAAGAGCTCTAGGATATCCTGAGTTTGTATGGACGCTAACTGTTGTTCACTAAGGGATTTCAGACTTGAATGGTCTGCTCCATTAGTTTAAAAAAAAACATAAAATGGTCTAATGGCTTGTTTAGTACCTTTATGCTTATGGAATTAAATTACTCAAGCCAATAGCTTCTAAATCCAAACTCTCTCAAACCAAGGCTCTTTCACAGCATAGTACTGTTTTTGCATCAAGGGCAAAAACTTGCCTCAGAATTCTAATGTTGCAGCTCTTAATAATTCAAGTACTGTGCAAGCAAATACATGCAATTTCTTCAATTGTTGCACTTTGTCTATTGCAAACTTAGTGCTGATTTTTGTTGATCAGATTAACTTCCAGATACACACTCTTATTTCTTGCTTAATTTTTTTTTTTTTGAAGGGTCAAGAGCATCCTGTGGTGCATCATGGTTTCAGTGCAGAAATGGACGGTGTGTGCCATTAATGTGGAAGTGTGACGGAGATGATGACTGTACTGATGGTAGCGATGAGAGTGATTGTGGTAAGTAACTCCTCATGAGTTCATGGCCAGCATGTGAGGCTGTTGGAAGGGGGCACAGTGGGGGGAGAAAAGCAGCTGACTAAGTGGAGTTTGGAACATGAAACAGTACAGCACAGTGTGGGCCCTTTGGCCCACAATGTTGTGCTGATCCATTATCCTACCAAGACCAATTTACCCCTCACTTTGCAATCCTCCATGTGCCTATCCAAGAGTCACTTAAAAGTCTGAGTCCACTATACCACTGTAGCAGCATATTCTACATGCCTACCGCTGACATCTCCCTTGTACTGTCCTCCAATCACCCTAAAACTATGCCCCTCTCATAAGTCACTCCTGCCCTAGGGGGAAAGTCTCTGACTATCCACTATCTATGCCTCTCATCATATTGTAAACCTCTATCAAGTCACCTCTTGTCCTTCTTCACGCCAATGAAAAGCCCTAGCTCCCTCCACTTTCCTCATGAGACCTGCATTCCAGTCCAGGCAGCATCCTGGTAAATCTCCTCTGCACCCTCTCTAAAGCTTCCACATCCTTCCTATGAGGTGACTAGAACTGAACACAATATTCCAAGTGTGGTCTAACCAGAGTTTTATAGCTTCATTCTTCAAACTACATATGGAGCAGAACTTCCAATCTCTTCTAGTGACTTAGTCACTAAATGTTCAGACTATTGATTAAAAAATATAAACTGTAGTATAGTAATATTGTTTGTACATATGCACAACACTTTGTAAAAACAATTTAATCTACTTTCTGGGCCTTGCTCTTGAGCTAAAGACTCAGAACTTGAGGTCTGGAATTCATTACAAAGGAGCTTCTTCCTAGCTTCACTGCAACCTTTCAATCACAGCATGATCACCTCCCTCTTCACTCCCACCACCCACACCCCCCCATCTCTTTAATCTAATCAATAACCTTGTTGATGTGATCCTGTCTCCTGCTCTTGCACCTCTTCTCTCCCCTTTTTTCCCCTCATCCCAACCATGAGATTCAGCAGAAATGTGTCTTTGTGGCAGGAAGTTATGTTGCACACTTCCCTACCTCTGAACAGTGTGTGGAAGTGTTTAGGTGTGCCCAAGTGGTGAGGTCTTTAAGCTGGTCTGGCTCAACCTAGTTTGTTCCATGGGGTAGCACTACTTTGATTTGGGAACCTTAGTTACAGTTGTCTTGTTCAACCTGGAGTGAATAGCCACCAGTAGAGGGAGGTTTCATACTGGCATCTCAAATTAAAGTGTAACTAGTCAAGTTGTAGTTGCCCACTGAAGTGCACCAGTTAAATGCCTGGTATTTGGGAAATAAGCAAAATCATGCTGTAGATAACTTAAATTCCAAAGAGTGCTACAGCATAATCTTTAGCAAATTGTAGATAGATGGCATTTAAGCCATAGTTGGTCTACAGCATAGTTCTTAGAGCAATACTTGTGTTTTGACACTTCCAAGTCTTGTTTAAGCTGATTAGTTGTGCCAAAATGCTTAATCAAACCTCATGACTTACCATAAAATACATGGTATGAGAGGAAAATCCATGGTTAACACTAATACTTTTAAAACAGCTTTTTTAAGTGGAAGTTGCTGTACAGATTCTGTCAAAGCTCTGTAGAAATATTTAATTGAATCATAAGTCATAGCTCAGGCTGTATGACCCACATCAACACAAGATTAGATACTTAATACAGTCCCAGCTTTTTACAATAGACATGTGATTTTTTTTCTCATTAGTTATTTCTCGATGTCAATTACTTGATCTCAGTCCTCCAGTTATTGACACCTGAGCTGGGAAACCATTCTCCTTAAAGCCCCTATTGAATACCAAATCTTTCTATCAGACCCTAATCCTAGCTACATGAGCCTCCAGAAATACCAAAAGCATTAGTGTAAGTGGAGCTAGAACCAAAGTAGCTAGACCTGCAGATTATGTAGTGTACAAGGCATACTAAATAACTCATACAGATGGTGAGGATGAAGACCTAGCTCAAGTAGGTCTATGTAGTAAACTCTTGCAACAAGAATTACAGAAAAAAATCTGGTCTTGGTAAGAATATAACCCTTAAAATTGTCTTGAGACTTTTCTACTCTTGACTGAGAAAAGGCTTGCTTTATTCAGCAAGATGTATTCTGAGCCCACAACTAATGAGAAGTTAAAGCAAACTTGCATGGAAATTGGTGTTAATAAACAGCCAATTTTGAAATCTTGGTCTTCTTAAACATTGGCAAGAAGTGTTCCTATTAGGAAATGGAACCTGAATTTCCCCTCCTGAGGAAGATACCATTATTGGTTCTAAATGGTGAGTCTGATGTCTGTAATAGAGTTGTTACCACTCTTTTTTCCCCCCTAAAAAGCTTCCAAGTTTTCTACTGAAGAAAACACTTGAACTAAACTCAAATGTGGTGTTGTAATGACAATGAACCAAAAGTTTTGCATGATGTATCACATGAACATTCACTGACTGGTGTCTTGATGGTAATTATCATTTAAAGTTGCATAATGTTAAATACAACCAATATATTCTTCCTCCCTCAGGTAAAATCACCTGTGGACCATCAGACTTTGTATGCCACAATGGACATTGTGTGCCAAGCAAATGGCAGTGTGATGGCTCATCTGACTGTGAGGATGGATCAGATGAAAGTCCTGATATCTGTCGTAAGTATTATTGGGAGCAATGAGGAACTTTGAGCTCATGTTCTTAACTATGCAAATGGAACACCTTTTTGTATAAGTAGGCTAAAATATCACCTGATCATAGTATCATCGATGAAGACTAACTTACAATTCTCCAGTGCAAATAGCTTCTAGGTTGAAGCTCTTCTCACCATAACCTTTGCTATGTATTTGTTTTAGTGTTGCTGTAAATGTGTTGAGCATCTTTCCTAGTTGATCTGCAGCTACAAATCTCTATCTGAATAAAATTGGGATATTCAAACATTGAAACAATTCACAAAATCCATCACTTGGACTCTTAAGATTATCTACTTTCTACTCTACAAATGTAGAACATGAAGGAACAATGACAAGCAGCTTTCTCTAGCTTTTTCTATCACTAGACAAAGCACTTGGGCTTTCATGGCAACTTGTATGATTGTGCTCATTTGAGTATGAACAAACTAGTTCAGAATTTTCCAAGTCTCTAGCTATAGCACCATCTTGGGTACAAGGTATCTGGGTATGGATTCTTCAGTAAGTGGTATCTCTAAGCCACATTAATCACAAGATTTTAAAATTTATAGCATATGTGCAACTCTACTAACTTCAGTCAATACTGTGTATTTATTCCAGATGCACAGATGTGCCAGTTACATGAAATAAGCTGTGGCCCTGGCTCTCTTCAGTGTATTCCTGATTCCTGGAAATGTGATGGAGAAAAGGACTGTGACAATGGCAGTGATGAAGAGAACTGTGGTAGGCAACTTGCAACTTTATCTAGAATCTTTTTTTTTTTGGTTAACACTCAAGACTTTAAACTAAAGAACCAACCTGAGCTAGTATGAAAGCATTTCACTTTAATCTGTGGAAGTGGCAATTTGACTGCAGTAGTTACTTGTGGAAAATTTAAACTTGCAGCACACTGATCCTTTTTTGATATTTGGGTCTAGGTTTTTATTACACCTGCTCAGTCTAGCTGGTCAATCTAGACTAATACAATGTACTCAATTGCTGGCTTTTTGGAGTGACTTTTAAAAAGTCATTTGTCAGTACATGTATATTGCTTAAATGCTGCTTTTGCCTTGTGCTCAGAACAACTTTTCAAACCTTAATGTAAGGAGCAATTAACATTGTGTCTTGATTGACAAGAGCTAACTGTCAGCAATTTCCCTTTCCATGACTTGACTAGATTCAATTTTAAACTTGCCTCTACATCCAACAAGTAGAGCCCAAATTTCTTGTCCAGAAACTCAAATGGAAGTTGAGATTCCTAGTCAACAGCTGGTGAAATTTTTGTGGTCGATTTTAAATTGACCTAAATTTCGGACTTCTGTTGTCAAATGATGACGAGCATTCAGCTCCAATTCTACTAACTCCACTCAACCATTTTAACAGACAGAATGGTTTTATCATCTAGTCACTTTTTTCTACCTGACATGGCTTAAAGCTGTGTTCAAAACAAATATTCAAAATGTTCATGTCCTTGAATGTTATACTATGCTATTATGACAACTGATTTTTAAGGACACTTGAACAGCAATATAGAGCAAGGCCATACTTAACAAGTAGACTTGCCTGATGGCAGGATATTCCTTTAATAGCATTTCTTCTCCCAGTAATCAAGTTTCAGAAAACACTGTCATACCACTGGACTAACAACACATGTATTAGGTTGAAGGATGTATAGAATATTCTGCAAACTAATAGAATAAATCATAAATGTAACTTCCCAACAGTTCTATAGGGTGTTCCTGTTTTTCTTTTCAGGCACTTTGGTTTGCAGTATACTTGAGTTCACATGCTCCAATGGCAGATGCATTTCCAAAACATTTATCTGCAATGGTGAAGACGACTGTGGTGATGGGAGTGATGAACGAGGTTGTGCCCCATTTGTTTGTCACATTCATGAGTTTCAGTGCAATAGTTCTGAATGTATCCCTATGAATTGGGTATGTGACAATAATGCTGACTGTGCTGACCAGTCTGATGAAGCTCCAGAACATTGTGGGCGTACACTTGCCCCTGTGACCTGCTCTTCCAGTGAGTTCCTGTGCAAGTCTGGTGAATGCATCAATCATCACTGGTACTGTGATGGAGATAATGACTGCAAAGATGGAAGTGATGAAGTGAACTGCTGTAAGTAGCCTGTCTTGTTTTCTAGGATCTTTGATCTTCAACTCTAGTTTTCTAGAGGCATGAATTTCCAAAATGGTCCCTCTATTGTCTGAAGACAATTAACATCTTCCTAACAGACTAAGGACCTTTCACCCACTTTCCTGCTGTAGCTAGTACTGTTTCCAAAGCTGAATGTTTGTTTATTTTTTGGTGGGCCTGCTCAGCAAACAGTCAAAATTGTAGAACAAATGTCAGGTTAATGCTGATTTGACACTAGTGCTCTCCTCGCATTAAATAATGGATTTTTAATGCAGTATCCAGCACAGATGGTTCCACATCCTGGAATATCAGCCTTTATTGTCGACTCCTGGAAGGCATAATTGCTGCCTCAGTAACTGAGTCATTCTGTATAGAATGACTTTTGAATCCTAGCAGGGAGTAGATTTTGCATTTTAAACCTCCCCTCTAAACAAAGCTGAAGGCTTTAACCCTACAAGTTGGAAAGAATCTTTCCACTGCCTGCACCCCCTTCAAAAAACCCTAACCTAGGAAGGAATCATCACTTCAACATTTTACTCCAACCATCACTATGCAGTTTAATTATTGGTAACATCACATATGCTTAGCCTTAATTATCTTGCTTTGTTTCTTGGTCACTTCAAGCAGAGATGTCTTGTTTTTCAAATAGAGCACCTTGAGCATTGTCTATGGCTGTGCTCCAATTGAGTTTGGTGTAGATGTTCCTTGTGTATATTTAACCACTAACTAAAACTCAATTCTTGGCAAACAACTCCTTAGTAAAGTCTAACTCCTGCAAATTGAAATAGTTGCCAACCATTCAGTCCTTTCAGACTATGTTCAAAGTATAATCTCTTCTAGAAGTAACATTCTTCATACCTCTGCAAAATTGAATCTAACTCTGAACTTGTACCTGCTAAAGTTTAACATTAGAAGCTTCAAGTGTTAAGTCAAAACCACTGAATGTTAATAGTCTAGAACAGTAGTCAAATGCAATCAGTATGTCTGGTCTCCTTGGCTTCATGGCATTTCTAATTGAGACTTTGTTAACAGTACCTCGAACATGTAGACCAGATTACTTCCAATGCAGTGATGGTAATTGCATCCCTGAGAACAAGATCTGCAATAACTTTGCAGACTGCTCTGATGCTAGTGATGAAGCCAACTGCAAGAATGGTAGGTGCAAATTTAGTACAAATATAACTAAACTGGAGTGGTGTGAAGTGGTGTTAATACAGCTATTTGTTTCTAGAATGCACTGGTCCCTCTGACTTTAAATGCCAAAGTGGAGAATGCATAACTATAACCCAAGTATGTGACCACAAATGGGACTGTAGAGATCGGAGTGATGAACCCTTCAAATGCCGTAAGTTTCTTAATGTAGTCTTGTGGCCTAATGAACTCTTAAAGATCTTCTATTCTTAATTGTTATGCACAGTTATCTATTCCCAGCTAGTCACTAATCTCAAACACCATTTTATCTGTCATCTATCAAAGATTTTTCAACAGTTAAATCAAAAGATGACAGTGCAGCAGTGATTGTTAACAGACCCCCATGAGATTTAACATGATAAAAATGGGAATGGAATCTAAATCTTCAGGCTAGAGCTCTCTTACATCAGACAGTGGAGCACTTTGTGCAAAGTTGACTGACTGCTTGCACCTCCTTTGAGATCTTTGCTTGATAAGCATTTCCCCCAGCTACAGCTACCTTTTGCCTTCAGAAGCATTCGCACTCCCTCTTTTAAACCTTCCTTGAAGGGTAGGAAAATGCTGGGCTTTACTCTAGTGTAGGAGTAGATCCAGAAGGACAGTTAAATGGCTCTTTTGTCATACACTACAAATCTGCACAAGTAGTCACAATGACCTATAGCTTGTATCTCAAAGCTTTTGTCTGAGTTGCAGCAAACACATACTCTTGCTATCAAGTTTCCTAAAGGAACAAAGATGATAGGAACTGCAGATGCTGGAGAATCTGAGATAACAAGGTGTAGAGCTGGATGAACACAGCAGGCCAAGCAGCATCATAGGAGCAGGAAGGGTCTAGGCCTGAAACATCAGCCTTCCTGCTCCTATGATGCTGCTTGGCCTGCTGTGTTCATCCAGCTCTACACTTTGTTAACCTAAAGGAACAAGTTTAGTTCAAAAACAAACCTTAGTTAAATGTCTTGGAGGCAATTTAGCCCATGCAGCTGTGATTCCCAAAAGTAGGAGTCCTTAACAAGGAATAGCTTAAATTTTGGATGGACTTTAATTACAGGATTTAACCAAGTTAAAGTCCAACACTGAACAATAGGATTGTTCAGAAAATTCAATGATCAATGAAAATGTTTTGACCTCTTTCTACAGGGCTAAATGAATGTTTGGTGAACAATGGAGACTGCTCTCATATTTGCAGGGACCTTCTTATTGGTTATGAATGTGATTGTCCTGCTGGCTTTGAGCTTGTTGATGACAGAACTTGTGATGGTAAGTCTCTGTCTGCATCATTATACAAACTTAACTTTCTGATCTATTAATAGTGGATTTTTTGTTTTAGATGCCGATGAGTGTCAAAATCCTGGAGTCTGCAGTCAGATTTGTATCAACTTGAAAGGAAGCTACAAATGTGAATGTTATGAAGGATATCACATGGATCCTGCTACTAGAGTTTGCAAGGCTATTGGCAAGTATACTTTTACTCATCTGTAAAAGTCTACTGTAAACCAGTTTTTAGCAATACCAGACTTGGTCAGTAATGACTAATCTAGCATTACTAAAACTGTAGAATTTCCTAGGAGGAACTTGCAGGATTGTACTGTTTAAGAGCTTAAATAGCTTTTCTCTACTACAAACCACACAAGGTTCAATTTTCAAGCTGAATAATACATCTGAAACCTAGTTGCATATTTTGTGCAAGTGTGAAATACTTGTTTGAATTTACACCTTTTTTGCTCTTTAAAGGCAAAGAGCCTTACTTGATCTTCACAAATCATCATGACATTCGGAAATTGGGACTGCATCATCAAGAGTACAGCCAGGTACTTGTTCAGCTGAGAAATGCTGTAGCACTGGATGCTGATGTTGTGGAGCAAGAGATCTTCTGGGCTGACTTGGGCCAGCAGGCAATTTTCAGGTAAGATCTGTATTTGAGCACCTCTACTCCATGTATCTGCACGTTATTTGAACAAAAACCCAATTGAAGTTCACATTAAAACCTCTTGTCCGCCATTTATTTATAAAATGGCAAACTGCCCTGGCTTGGGGTGGCTCAGTGTTAGCACTGACACCTCGTAGCACCTTGGATACAAGTTCAAACCCAGCCTTGGGTGACTAGAAGCTGCATATTCTCCATGTTTCATCCAGGTGATCAGGCTTCCTCCACAGTAGATGTGCAGGTTAGGGTGGCATTATGAAAAATGCAGGGAGAAGGTAGGTGGTGACCCTAGGTGGGATGCACTTGAGTCAGTGTGGTCTTTGGGCTGAGTGGCCTGTCCCTAAATTTTATAGGGATTCTATGATCTAACAGAACATGGCATTAAGTTGTATGAACAGGACCCTTATCTGTTTTAGATGCAGTAGGTCACTTGATCTAGCCATCAATCTATACCTCAAACAAGGTGCCTGGATTTCCACTTCCTGTAGTGGATGTCTTTTGTGATTGCAATAACTTTTTTTTCTGAACAGTTTTGTTGCAGAGGCAATTCCATTAACAAGTTTGTATTTTTTCTCTAACTAGTGCATCCATGAATAGATACAAAGGCAAAACTGGTCAGTCAGTCCTTACCAAGGACTTGGGCATTCCTGTGGGAATTGCTGTGGATTGGATTTACAAGCACATATATTGGACTGACCGTGGTACAAAAACAATATCTGTGGCCACATTGGATGGATCCAGAAAGACTGTTCTCTTTGACACCAACTTAACAGAACCAGCTTCTATAGCAGTTGATCCACATTCTGGGTACTTTTTTTCTTTTCTACTTGCAGCACTTTATAATGCCTATACAAGTTTCAAATTTCCAAGGTTAATTCTCACCTAGATGATATCTTCAATGTTTTATTAAATTTGAGTTTTGTTGTAATCTTGCATGAGGATTGAGGGGGGGGGGGTGCGCAGAAGTAAGGGACACTAACTTGAGTGCCCATCCACTTCCAAAAGCACAATTGGAACACAACCAAAAAGCCAAGCAAGCCATCACTTTTCAAAGTCCATGCTTAAGTGGGCTGAAGTCCTGTTATTTAATCCCCTTAAATGTTCAGTGGTCTTGAGCTGCCAAACTTGCATAATATCTAGTATTGCAATAGTCACTGCAAGGTAATGTAAGTTGGCCTTTCTCTTCTGACACTACAGTCACAATAGTTTTAAACCACTGATAACATTCACAACTGGTGAGTAAACATTAAATGTTTAAACAAATTCTGAATCTCCTAAAGGTTTGTTTACTGGTCAGACTGGGGTGAGCCAGCAAAGATAGAAAAGGCAGGAATGAATGGTGTTGATCGCCAAACGTTGGTCGACCAAAGGATTCAAAGGCCAAATGGCATTGCACTTGGTAAGAAGTTTGAATTGGATCTCTTAACGATGTCTGAATTTCATTAAAATAATAGATAACAACAATCCTTTTTTTTTAGACCTTGTGAAACACCGCCTCTACTGGGTTGATGCAAAACTCCACACCCTGTCCAGTATAGGGCTGAATGGACAGGATAGAAGACTAGTGATCTTGTCACCAGAATTCCTTTCCCGTCCTTGTGGTGTTGCAGTGTTTGAGGTAAAGCAGAATTTTGCAGTGCAAGTTGCATGTGGCAATGCCATTCCTCTTGATTTAAGGGTTCATGATTTGAATTCTTGCATGGTTGTTTCCAGATGGTGGTTTTGCTTAATCCTTTTGCTTAACTCCCCTGACCAAACAACTAGCTTGCTTCACTTCACTAATTCTACATTTCAAGAACCTATGAATGTAGAAAACTACTACTCTTGGTCTGTTAACTCTGCCCTGAATAAACAAGTGTAACCAGGCTATGGAAAAAATTAATGGTATGCCACCCTGTATGTTTGAACAAAACTCTGCCAAAGGTAACTAGGTCAGAAACATTTGACCTAGAATAAATCACAATGAAGATTTTGGTTACCTAGCAATGTTAAATACCAATGCTCTTACTCAATAGTAGTAAATAAAGGTTTGGGAACCAGTGGTTTCTCTAGACTAACTAGTTACATATACTGGGGAATAAGCTCTGAACTAGTGAGTTCAACTGGCAAGAAACTTGCATTTGTGGTCCTTGGATGTCCTGTAGTCATCCAAATGTGATGTGGAAAATATTGTCATTTCATACTCTCTCTTTCAGAAGTGAAATTGGCCAGGATAGGAACTTTGTTCATGTCCCACTTGATTCCAGGGTCCTAGCTGCTCAAATGTTCATTTTGTTGCAAATGCTAGCTTGCTTTAGTTTGACCTCATGCACAAGTGCATGTTCTTCACCACCTGCATGGAGTATCTGCATAAACAGTGTAAGAAAACACTTTCTGGGACCCACTGAGTTTAAAACAGCCACAACTTCATCCCAATCTGATTAGTTCCTGACTTTGTCCCTAGTGCACTAATACTTTGTTCCTGACTGCAAAGTGAAACTTTAGTGCCAATTCTAAACTCCTTTTGGATTTTTTCTAAACTGCTGCACTTCAAGTGGAGACTACCCAGAGATGTGCAGAAACTACAGGTTTTTGTTTCTAAACTGCTATCTTGCAACAGCTGAGATACCAACCTAATCTTTCAGGATCGTGTTTTCTGGATTGATGAAGAAACTGAGGCAATCTATGGAGCCAACAAGTTCACAGGAGCAGATGTTGAAACACTTGTTTACAATCTCCAGCAACCACGTGATATCTTGATTTACCATGAACTGCTTCAGTTACCTGGTAAGATGAGACATTTGGCTTGTTTTGGTTTTCTTTTTGCTTTGTGGGGCAAATCCAATGTTTGGGCTGAACTGTTGCAATGCCTTGGTTTGTACTGGTCTGCTACAAATCTTTTCATGGGCAATTTGTGCTAATGTTCACATTCACAGCTTTATATAGCTTCAGATGAAATTCCTTTCCAGTCAGTTCAGCCAGTTGCAGAACTATCTTGAAGGCAGTGACTCCACTTTCAATTTGGTTAATCTCTAGAGAGGCAGCTTGCTTCCTCTAGCTGTTGGCTTTCTGGTCTTCTAATACAATGTCAGCACTAGCAATGCAAAAACTCAAAGATGAGGTTAGCCTGTAATGTAAATGGTTAAGGAAAACCCATTAATTTCAGCTAATACTAGTCCTTCTCCAGCCACTTGTCATCTTTTTCCTTGCATCTGAACTCCCTGGATATGAATAGCCCAGCAGATGGTCTGAAATCCTAGTTCCTGATCCATATCAACTTTCAATCCCTAGTGTTCACACTAGCATCACTCCATTTTAGCTTGGTCAAGCATCCAAGATCTTGATGTTTCTGCCTAGTCTGTAATGTTTCATCTAACAGTGCTCCTCCCAGATACTATACACCTCAAGTTCTGTTTAGCATTGCTTGATACTTTTTTTCAAAAGTGCTCCCCAAATAAATGCTAATGATCAAACTAGAATACTATGTAGATCATATGGAGACTTTTCACTTTAAGCAATGCTGAACATTGGTGTCTCAAATCAGTCCAAGATTTTGTCCTACCAGAATGCAACTGCCTAACAAGTAAAGACTTCTTGCTAAACTAAATCTCAAACTTACCAATTACATTAAAAGGATAACTGCAAGTGAAGAGCCCAGTAGTGAACTGCAACTTGGTCTCTTAACCATAGTCTCCAAACTTGATCAAAGTTAATAAATAGCTGTGCAATCTTGTGTAAAGATATTTGTTCAAAGTTGTGCTCTGGTCATGTTTTACAAGCCCATATCCAGAATAGTTCCTATTGGCAAATCTTTCTTGCAGGTAAGAACTGGTGCAATGACAGTGGAAGCTGTGAATACATGTGTCTTCCTGCTCCTCAGCATAAAGAATTCTCTCCCAAATACACATGTGTGTGCCCACCTGGAATGAAACTGGAACATGGACAGAAGTGTGGAACAGGTACCGAACAATGTCTACAGACTGAACTTCACTGCAACCCAATACAGAACCTCAACAAATATTAGCCACTTCTGGCTAGGGGCCGTTCCACAGCAAAATGTTTCCAGTCAGTGTAGATCTGCTCAAATAGAACTAACTTTGTGCCTGAGTAATTACTAACTTGTGAAAGTGAAGCTCCATGAACACTTTTCAAATCAGTTTTTGACATGGAGTCCCTGCATTTTGATTTAAATCTTTCCCTATTAAACTAGTCACGTACTAGTTGTTAAATCTAGTTAACCTTTTTTGCCTTCAGATTTCACAGCCTGTGGTATCAATGAAATCCATTGTGGCCATGGATCCCATGAGTGTATTCCTCTATCCTGGAAGTGTGATGGTGAAAAAGACTGTACTAACGGTGGTGATGAGGAGAACTGTGGTAAATTAATCAATTGTCTACAATTAGTGTTTACATAACTAGCTTATCTAATTCAAATATTACCAACTTAACATGATCAGCTCTTGCTGATCTAGTAAACTTTAGACTAAGTGTACTATAACAGCAAGTGTTGTAGTTTTAATTGTAAATATACAAGTGTTGGCCAACAATTCAAGCATGTAACTCCTACACTTCAGTGGGATTTTGAGTACAATGTACCCCCTCCAGCCACCTCAAACCTAGACTCCATCCTCTTGCCACTTGATATATCTATATTACCAAGCAATTTATCTAGCTCACTGTTTTGGAACTCTTCACTATTCCTTCTGTAGTAGAACCCTTTTTGCTCAAGATTTATTTGGAGTAAATGCTGTATTTCAGATGCCTGTTTAACTTGAAATGCTAAATAGAATTTGTACCAAGACTTTGAAAATTACAGCATGTTCAATTTTGTGGTAACTCAGGAACAAAAACAAGGTGCTAGTTTTTATAAAAAAAAAACCTCAGCCAGTCTGGCAGCATCTGAAGAAAATCAGTTAACGTATCACGTCCGCATCCAGTTACCAGACCCAAACACTAACTTTTGGATGCTGCCAGACCAGCTGAGCTTTCACAGCAACTTCTGTTTTCTAGCATTTGAAGATTGCTGACCACAACATCTAGACTTTTTCTCAAATGCTGCTTGAAGCTAAAGTTGCTCAGCTGTAAACATTTGTTACTGAAGTCCTCCTGAAGCAATACTATATACTCTCTTCCTCAGGCACCCTTACTTGTAGTGCATTAGAGTTTACTTGCTCCAGTGGCAGATGTGTTTCCAAATCCTTTGTTTGCAATGGTGAAGATGATTGTGGTGATGGAAGTGATGAAAAAGGATGTCCTAGAGCTATATGTGGCTCACATGAGTTTCAGTGCAACAACTTGGTGTGTATCCCTTCAAGCTGGGTGTGTGACAATAACATTGACTGTACAGACAAGTCTGATGAAGCTGCCAAATTGTGTGGACATACTCCTGCACCTCTAACAACTTGTTCTATCAATGAGATTCAATGTAACTCAGGAGAATGCATCCACTCCCAGTGGCACTGTGACGGTGATGAGGATTGCAAGGATGGAAGTGATGAAATTAATTGTCGTAAGTAAACTATAATCCTTGCTCACTTCAATCCTTGCTCTTGATACCTGTTCTGAACTTATTGATACAGATTAATTATGGGATGTGGACTAGCTTCCTAGTTCTCAAGGCTGACTTGAAGCTTCTTGTCTCCAACCAAAAGTAACATCTATTCAAATTTTTTGTGCACAAGCATACAAAGTTAACCCAAGTGTATCTTTTTAAGCCCCTCGCACTTGTCAACCAGATGACTTCAGATGTGGTGATGGCTCTTGTATCCATGGAAGTGCAAAGTGTAATGGCTATAAGGATTGCAATGATGGAAGTGATGAAGCAAATTGCAATGGTAAGAATGAGCATGTATGAATTCAGTGGCCATAGCCAATAACCCCTAATGGTGAAATCATAGATGTGGAAGACACTGTTCTCCAGGTTGGATTATAAGTTAAATGAGTGACAATAGGAATTCGGTTTTCTTGCCATTAGCCCTGAAATCCAATGTACATGCTGTCATGCCAAAAACCTGGCTTGCTGTGAATTTAATGAAGTGACACTAGGTGGGGGGCTCAAACACAACACAGGATAAACTGAAGGGTTGGTTGCTTCTTGCCACAGTAACTTTGAGGAATTGGATGGCTGATGATGGTTTGAGTTAGCAAAGCTTTTTCCTAGTAGAAAACTTGTCTACTCTCTTTGGCAAATGAAACAAGATTCATGTAGGAATAAGAGATTGCATTCAGCACAGAATGCAAGTATTTGAGTCTGAGGCAGGAACAATTTGACATGATCAAATTACATCTCCTGAGGATGGGGAATTTTTTCATGAGGCAGTGAGTACTAATCTAGTCTCCTTGGGCACTAAGCTCAGTGCCTCATTTGGCTGAGACATCTGTCAATGGTGCAGATGTGCCCACTAACAAAGACTGAAGGATATTGCAAGTGTTTGCTGGGTATGAGCAGTGTAAGAGTAGTTCATTCTTTTGGATTCACCCATTAACATTGGGGTAATGGCTTAGACTCCTGTTGAGAATATGATCCTTTAAGCAGTCTCTGACAAACTACCTAATACCACAAACTTCTGTAATTGAGCTCATTGTTTTCTCAACTAAACTATTAGCAAAACATTCTAGTAACTGTGTATTCGGTACACAATCACTGAAAGATGTATTTTCAGTATCAAGTGGCATCTTGACTTTGCTTTTCAGGTACAGAATGCCTTGTACCAACTGAATTCAAATGCCAAAGTGGTGAATGCATAAGTATTAATAAAGTGTGTAACCACTGGCAAGATTGCAAGGATCGCAGTGATGAACCTCCTGAATGCAGTAAGTTGAGATTTATTGCTTGTGACTAGAACAACTAAGCAGCATGCAAGTTCTACCCTTTGTACCTGTTCCTCCCCTTTATTTAAAAAAAAATTCAGTCAAACATTAAACATAGCAAAATGAGTACACATTCCCACTAAATACAGGGAATTGGGCCCCTATCATGTTACATGGATACAATAACAGGTACTGGATATCAGTGGTAGAAAAATGCCATAGGGCTGCCAACACCTAGAGAAAGCAAAGTTGGTTTTTAAGGTTCATAGAATAATTTGGCTGAGGTTTTTGCACTTGTAGCTATTTGAGCAGCTGTGACTCTCAATTGAATACAACTGAGGCACACTGCCACAGCTAGGAAAAGGACTTTTAGTCCTACTTTACCCTACCACATTCACTGCTGCTTTAACTGGTTTTGTTTTTGAATTGAGAAAGTTGATTGGAAGTAATACAAATTAACTTGCATAAATTGGCCTATAGGCCATTGTTCTAAGTGTCACAATGGAATTGGCTTTCCCTGCTTTCTAAACCTGCTGCCTTTTTAAATGGAGCAGATTTTGTACCTGTAACAACATGTCAGCCACTAATGCTAGTCAGTGGCTTTCATTTTCTCAGCCACTAATTTTTTTATATTTAACTCCTAACAGATCAGAATGAATGCCAAGTGAACAATGGTGGCTGCATGCATACCTGCCAGGATCTTGTTATTGGCTACAAGTGTGGATGTGCTCCTGGCTTTGAGCTGGTTGATGACAAAAACTGTAGAGGTAACTACTTTTTTCTTTGGTTTTATTTCTAGCTTAAGAGCTTTAGGACTAAAATATTTGTCTTTTGACAGATATTGATGAATGTCAAAGTCCTGGGACTTGCAGCCAAATTTGTACTAACACCATAGGGAGTTATGAATGTGCATGTCACAAAGAATACTATATGGATCCAGTGACTAGAGTTTGCAAGGCAATAGGTAAGTAGGAACAATGCTCATACCCTATTCTAATCTTTCTCTCTCCATGCAAGTGAAAGACCCTTCCCTCTTTCATACTACGCAAGTTCCAAACCTTTTGTATAGTAATTCCTACAGCTTACAACACTATTCAAGAACTTCCATTTGCCACTGATGCTGATAATGTTTTCTCCTTTTAGTGGTCAAACAGAAGTTGAAAAGGCCCTTTAGAAAGGGTTTTTGGTTTTGTGGTGTGGGTTGGGGTTTTTGTCACTAATGACACTTTTTTGTACTGGACCAACTTCACTGCTCTAATCAAGGCAGCAGTATTGATATCAGCTTGTTTTTGTCCCTTTGTAGAATTTGTGCCTACAAATAATGCATTTGGGAATAGTTGCCCCTGAACTAGAAATTGCTTGTACCCCCAGTAACACTCAACCTAGTAAATCAGATTAGATCATGACAATGTTTTGAATTTACCTGAGCCAGAAGGTTATTCAACCTTTTAGCGCACAATCAGCCATCCATTTGCTTCATTGTATTGAGCTTCCAGCAAAATTCACCTGAAACAGCTAAAGTAGACAACTTTTCCTGTTCCTCCTAAAATAGGAGAAGAACCTTATTTGGTTTTTACCAATCGCCATGATATCCGGAAAGTGGGATTGCGCCAAATGGAATACACCCAAGTAGTTTGGAAGCTGAGAAATGCTGTGGCACTTGATGCTGATGTTGCAGCAAAAAGGATCTTCTGGGCTGATCTGGCACAGCAAGCAATCTTCAGGTAAGCACTTTCACAAAGCTGTAACTCTTCCTAATGCTAGCTGAGATGGTCACTGCATACAGATCAAGTTTTCTGATTTGCCTTCAGGTACAATTTGTACCATTCTACAATTCTTCTGTAGAGCATGGCTTCTGGGAGTCTGTGGTTTTCTATACGCCTGGGTTAATCCTAAGGCTTGCCATTTAACTTAGTCCCTTGCTTCATTACCTAGGTACTTTGGCAGTAATCAGCCATACAATGCACACTAAATGTCAATTACAAGATCATCTGCACTCTCAGGCAGCATGCAGTAAGCTTACAATTGAGCTTAATTTAGAATTCAACTCCATCTTTGTCTCAATTGCCCCAGTTAAATTTCCTTGTGGCATGATCACTCCTGATGCCAAACAGATTTTTATGCCTGAAGCAACCTACATACCTAGATTTGGTGATACTTCTGGCATCCAAGTTTGTGGGTTTTTCTTTTGCATTACAAAGCACCACATGCTACAGTTCCACTATTGGGTAGTGCAGGCAATATGAATATTAAGGGAGATTTGTGAATTGATAGCAATCAAACTAACACTGATACATGCATACCTTGCACTATTGTCTAACTTGGTTTTAAACTTTCTGAAGCATTGCCTGTAATAAGCCAAACTTGGGCCCTAAATTGGTTAATACCAGATTTTTACTAGAGGAAGCACTTGTGGCTAAATGCTCAAGATTAGGTCACTGGCCATCAGATGATTTGAGCTATACACTACTCCATTTAGGTAAGAATTGTCTGGCTGTAGAAAGTTCAAACCTTGGCATGTCTAATTCCTGCCAATGAAGTAGTTGCATTAGTTTTGTTTTAAACATTGCAGTCTGAAAAGATTCCTTATTTCTCTTCTAGTGTGTCCATGGATAAACATGAAAACATGAATAAATCCAACATTGCCAAAGATCTTGGGATGCCTGTGGGAATTGCTGTGGACTGGATCTACAAACACATCTATTGGACAGATTGTGGCACTAAAACCATATCTGTTGCTAACTATGATGGAAGCAAAAGGAAAATCCTTTTTGATACTGACTTGATGGAACCAGCTTCAGTAGCTGTCAATCCATTATCTGGGTACTGGACCTTTAACTTGGTTGCACATTGAGGGGCTTTGTGGCTTGGGTGAAAAAGCAGGCATTCATGACTTTGAGCACTTTCTTGCTTTGGACTGTTTCCCAAGAACATGTGACTTAAGTCATTGCTAGTTGTAGATCTTAGAATTCCCAAATTTCAATAGTCTCTTGGCACTAGCATTGAATATCAAACCAACATGCCAGGATCAGTTGTCATGTTTAATAGCACTATCTCAGATGCAATCCTTAATTAGGGACATGTGCCAAAAACACTTGATACTTACAATAGACTTTTTTGTTTGTCTTCTAGTTTTCTCTACTGGTCAGATTGGGGTGAGCCAGCAAAGATTGAAAAAGCAGGAATGAATGGCAATGACCGTAATGTTCTTGTGGCTACAGATATTCAATGGCCACATGGCATTGCTCTTGGTAAGTATAAATTCCTTTATTTTCACTAGAGAAAGCAGCACTTTCTAGTTTAACAATCCATCCTTCTCTACAGATCTTGTGAGAAGCCGGCTCTATTGGGTTGACTTAAAGCTGCACAGTCTATCAAGTGTAGACTTAAATGGCCAAGACAGAAGAACTATACTGCAGTCAAGAGAATTCCTCCCTCACCCTCTTGGAATCAGCATATTTGAGGTAAGTTGACTTGTTTTAGCAGGCCTAATGGACTTGATTCATTGAAAACAAAGCTTGCAATTGCCCCAAATCTAGTAGCAGCTGTGGAGAGCAAGCTACTGTATCACTAAGTGACTGGTCAACCTCTGACCATTACTAGCAACAGTAGCTGTTCATTCCATGTCACCTGTCTTCCCACTAATGCTTTCTAAGCATTAAGAAACCAAGACTAAACCATCTTAATGGGCTGTTTTTCCAGCCCAACTCTCCATCCAGGTCTGCATTAGCATCAGATGTCCCATTTTGGCTTTTCCAGACTTTGTTTGGTTCCGTTCCAGTCTTGATAGAAAGAAAGGCAGTCACCATTCACTAGCCCTCAACTAGAACATTAATCTCTCTCGCACTTCATCTATCCTCTAATTTGCTCCACTAGATGGCTTTGTATATCTCCCTTTTCTAGCTTGTACTCATTGCCCACCATCCTTCAGCCTTCAATTGTTGACCCCTTCTGTTTCCATATGATGCCCTGTTTCCATATGGTGTTGATTCTGAGCTTTTTAGAACTTGGTAGGAAATTCCCTTTCAAATTTTCATGCTGCAACAGCTTTGAGCACAAATGAAGCTTGGCTTCTTCATATCAATGACCAAAGTTGTGTTGATTGACTAAAGCCCTGACCCTAGCATGAGGCTAGAAACTCTGCAAATAAAGGGTGTGACGTCCAGATTGCCTGCTCAAGCAGTTTGAGACTGAGCAACATGGTAATAGTTCAGAAGATAGCTATATCTTCCGAGTTGACTTGTTTTGGTCTGCATTCAGTGACCGGTTGAATTTCATTGACTGAAATGAAGTTGTGCAACAGCTTGTGAACAAATAGTTGTTGCAAATGCAAGCTAACTCAAGTAGCAAGTAATTACACAACTTGTAATTTTCCACAACTTCTGATTTTTTTTTAGGATCGTGTGTTCTGGGTTGATGGAGAAAATAAAGCTTTATATGGAGCCAACAAATTTACAGGCTCGGATATAGAGCTTTTGGTTGCCAACCTGACTGAACCTTCAGACATCATTGTTTATCACAAGCTAACTCAACCAGCAGGTGAGAATCTACTGGTGGCTGGTTGTTCTGCTAAATGTTGAATCTAACTTCAGTGGGGAGAAAGGAAGAAATGGTGTAACAAGTTTCCTGTATCTGGCCAATCAGGGAAATAGCTTCCAAGATTTAGACCCTCTGCACCAACACTTTCACTCTCTTAACCCCTGCAGTATTTTTCACCTCACTTGACATTTCCTGAAGAGTTGCTTTCATCCTGCCTGTGTTGAAACTACCTTGCTGCAAAGTGTGGAAGAATGAAATAAATCTTGTTTCAGGGCCATGTCCTAAATTTTGATCTGAAACACCAAGCCATTAGTGTTTAACTTTTGAGCAGGTGCTGTATATGCTAGCCTACAAGACTTGTAATCCATGTTGAAACTGTAGAAATCACTTAATAGTTTTAGCTGGAGATACTTAGCCATCTTTTGGTCTGTAAGCTGCAGGGTGAAATTTGAAGGCCTCCTAGGGGCCAAGATATCAACTGTCCTGGCCTATATAGTCACTACCTTATCTCTTCAGGAAGGATTCCTAGGTCTAGACCCATGCCTTCTCAAAGTCTTGCACTTTTTTAATTGCTTATGCAATTTAGGACATCTAGTCCTAATGTGCAAATGTTTACACACTAAGGTTTTCACCCTCAGTTTTATCATAGGTGTTGGTCCATATTCACTACAACTAATCACTAACTTTCCACTCTCTGGCTATGGGTTTAAAGGCTTTTTCTTCTGCTTTCATCCCCCACCCATAACCCTTGAGCTGTAGAACTTCAATATGTCAGCATGTCCAGAAACTCTACCTGTACACCAACTCCCAGTCCCCTAATGTCAAAACTCTGCCACCATTTTCCCCTGGCCCTTGTGTGGTCAGTGTCTTCTGGTTAGAAAGATGCACCCAGAGGATCTCTGCTCCTTTGCTTTAGCCTCTAGTATGCTTCAAAAGTCACTGCAAAGCAACACAATCACCATCTCACAAAGTTTAAAAATCCAAAGAGTCACCATGGCCTCCAGGTAAGGAGAGGCTGAGGACAGTGTTCATGGTAACTTCTCAATATGGGAGCTGAACTTGCTAGAATCACCAAGCTAGCATTTCTGCTAACTGACTACTTTCTCAGTGAAGTAGATCAGCATTTCAAACATGATTGGTTAGCCAATCATTCATACAATATGCCATCTAATTCAGACATCTGAAGTCTCTGGCCCTAGTTGGAGTTGGGGCATTCAGATTTCTGATACTAGACAATGACCTAAATTTCAACTTCCAGGCCAATTGAGTTGTCTGGAAGTCCCAACACTACTAATTATACAGCAATTGCTAATTCCCCATCAACATCTGAGCCAGTGAGTAACAAACTTATTTGGAGTTGTCTCAATGGCTTTATGTAAAAGTGCTGCTCTCAAATTTATTATGGTAACTTCAGTCTAGATTTAATTTTGCAACTTAGTTGGCTGTCTTAAATACCAGTTTGTGTTCAGAACCTCCAATTTCTACCCCAAAAAAGATCACCTTCCCTATACTGTCAAGAACTCCAGATTCGAACTGACAATATCTGTTTCCACAGGCAAAAACTGGTGTGCTGAGAGTCTGAAGACCAGAAGCTGTGAGTACATGTGTCTGCCAGCTCCTCAGACCAGTAGCTATGGTCCAAGATACACTTGTGTCTGTCCATCTGGAATGAAGCTCCAAAAGGATGGATGGCATTGTGGAATGGGTATGTGGGTGAACACAAGTGTTGCAAACTTGATTCAATGGTAACCTACTTTAGTGTAGAACCAACTGCAAATTGAGCCATAAGCATTCAGTCAGCATAAAAGGCAAGCATTTAAACATCTAAATTTGAATAAAATTGCCTACTGCTCTGGGAATAGCAAGTGTTCTAAATTGGAGCAATCTTTGGCACTTTAATTTTCAGTCTAATGAAAGTAAACATCCATTCCCTTGGAAAAAAACAAGGGCTTGATACTACTTCCCACTTTCTTCCTCAGATCTTTGGTTTTTAAAATGGGCATCTTGTCTTGTTTAGCACAGTACAATTCTGAAACAATTTCCTTCAGGATGAAGATTGAGTAAAACATAATGCTGACTTGACTTTTTTCCTAGCTGCAACCTGTGGAACATCTGACTTTATGTGCAACAACAGACAATGCATAGCCAGTAGGTGGCTGTGTGATGGTAAAGCTGACTGTGAAGATGGATCTGATGAGCTAACAGAAGTCTGTCGTAAGTTTCCCCCATGTAAGGATATAATGGGGGGAATATCCAAGTTTTAGAAGTTTGTTGGTGGCTTTCAGATTTTTAGAAGTTAAACTTCTAGAATTACTAAGTAAGTCTAGCAGCATCTGGAGATAAATTAGCCAACCTTGGGTCCAGTGATCCTTCCTCAAATCTAGAATTCAACTTCAATTTTTAGATTTGCCTGTCCTGGCTGACTTTTCAGCTATGCAAATATTTACTAATGAGAAACTTTCCTACTAGCTCTTGTCACTTTCCTCCTAACTGTGTAGCTAGTAATTGGCTCAATGACAGATTGTAAATGCACTGATTTCAATCTAAGCAAAATAGTTGTTTAAAAGCATACTTCAATACAGTGCTCCAGACATGGGTTTTAAGCATTGCTCCTAAAAGGTTGTTGGCTGGGATTGCAGAAATGGCAATGTAGTGCCCAAATATTTCTTCCAACAGAAGCTTGGAAGACCTCTGCAACATGTCAAATTCTGCTGGTGCTGGTACTGGCTCAAGTCAAACAATACAATGTCAGTTAGACTTTCTATTAACTTTGTCCAATTCCTGGAGGCTAGTAGGACTGTATGCAATAAGTGAAAGACTAAATTAGTGGAATGATTGCCTAACAAAATAGTGAGTTGCTTTGTCTCATCACTTGAGATGAGACACTTGTTGCTTTGATTTGGGTAGCAGAATTATTGAACTAATTTGGCTTTCCTATCCTAAATACAAGATTCTCAATGACTAGATTTTGCCAACTATTTACTTGGGTTGTCAACCAGTTTGCACCAAGCCTTGCTAAACACCTTGCCTGTTAACTTTGACTTTGCAAATCTGAAGTCCACTAACCCAGACAAGTCAGTCATACAGTGGAGACGAGACCTTTTTTGGGTCCAACCAGTCCATCTGGCTTTCACCCTATCCTTCCAAGTAATATTTATGAACTTGTCCAAATATCTTAAACAGTGTTCATTCTACATGGGCCACTTTACTCTTGCACTCCATGCTTGAATGCAGCATGTCTCATGGCAGTTGAGTTGCATGGGCATGGCAGTCATCACTATCCAGTCTTTATGCACACAGGAGGTTGTCAATTCCTCTACAAGCCCAGACATCTCAAAGCTAAGTATTGTTTCCAGCCACTTGCAGTTGTATGCACTTGCAAATGAAGCTTTTAATGCTGCTAAATTTGTCCATACAGTTTTTGTGCCACATCTTTAACTTGGTATTCTGAATTTTCATGGTCTTCACACTTTTTTGGATTTCAGATGAAATAACATGTCTTGGCCATGAGGTCAGCTGTGGCCTGGGGTCACTTCAATGTATTCCTGTTGCTTGGAGATGTGATGGTGAAAAGGACTGTAGTAATGGTGGTGATGAAGTTGGCTGTGGTAAGTTGGTCTGTGCTTTCCCTGAAGTGGAGTAAATTCCTTAAAATTCAGTTAAATTTCTAATTTAACTTCCAACTGTCAAGTTTATGGCCAAATTAGTGCAATCAGTACAGAACTGACAGCTGCTGCAGGTTAACTAATCTCCATGCAATGGAAACACTCCCAGAACAGCATTGCCATCTAAGCTTTTTAACTGGTTTGGCTTAACATTGGCTGATGCCAGATGAAGCATAGACTCCTATTTTTAGAAACTGACATGTGCCATTTAGCCACATCAGGTAAAACAGACTTCTAGTCAAAAGCAATGTACTAAAATTGTTCTTGCCACCCCCCCATGTTCAGTTGCTTACACCCTTCACTACAAATACCACTGCTTCAAGCTTTCTGCCTTGGGCTAGATCAGTCAATCTAGACTTCACTTGGTATTTGAATATCATTTTGGTATCTGGTATTTTAGTGTTAACTCTCTAGATGCTAGTTAAACATGACCAGTTTTCCTTGTATTTCACAGTACTAGAATACTGACCAGGCCCTCTAATGAAATTTTTCACTATTTTGAAGAACTAATGCCCAACTTAGTTTTTGAAGGGATGAAATTAAGATAATAGCCAGTTTTAGTTCAGGCTCAATATTAGCCCAAAGAACTACACCAATCTTAAACTGAATCTGAAGCCCTAGTAATGTATACAACTGGAGGTTCACAAGTGTAGAACCCACCTTCAGTGATTAAGCTTACTACACAATGATTGCTACATCAATTCTTGTGCTGAGGTAGGTTCTTGGCCCACCCTTGTCAACATTGAATTCAAAATAACCAGTTGGTTCCCCCAGCTTTGTAACATGCCTCACTTTGTTAATCTACAGTTGAAATTTCTGCAGTCTAACTTAGCCTTTTTTAACAGGCATAATCACTTGCAGCCCAGAAGAGTTCACATGTCTCAGTGGCAGCTGCATTTCCAGAACATTTGTCTGCAATGGTGAGGATGACTGCATTGATGGAAGTGACGAAGAGAAATGCCCTTCTCTCATCTGTGGCATTCACGAGTTTCATTGCAACAGTTCAGAGTGTATACCCTCTAGCTGGGTGTGTGATGGCAATGTGGATTGCACTGATCAATCTGATGAGTCACCAGAACACTGTGGGCGTACAATCCCCCCTCTTCCTGTAATCTGTGGTCCAAATGAACTCCAGTGTGGTTCTGGTGAATGTATCCAGCGTCACTGGTACTGTGATGGTGATGCTGACTGCAGAGATGGAAGTGATGAGGCAAACTGCCGTAAGTAGACTACTTGCACTCTATTATTGGGGCTGTAGCCTTGCATGCCACCTAGTTAGTTGCCTTGCCATTCAGTTTCAATGGCACAATTAAATAATGAGACTTAAATCAATGGCAGATTGGAGCATATGCTGTAGATGTTGCAACATTGGCTGCAAATTCTACCACAAGATCCAAAGTTTTAAACTCTGGACTACTTTGCTTTGCCTCACTAAGTTGAGGCATTACTGTACAAGGCACATCCTATAGTGTCTTCCTGGACAGCTTTCCTTCTTCCCCCCCCCCCCCCACCAAAAGCTCAGTATCCTAAGTAACTGTAAAATTGACAGCCATATTAACCTGCACTTTCATCAAGATTGTATTGGGAATGAAATATTTAATGCAGCTAAGATCCTCAGGCAAAATTTTGAATGCATGTGCTGTAGTCTTACACAGTACATATCTGTAGAATTAAACTTGCAACTTGCAGGATCAGGGCTCCTCTTCTAGATCACTCAAGCTGAGCTGGAAATTCTTATCTACATGTGATCTGTGTAGAAGGAAGTTCTGTGTTCTCTGATCCAAAAAAAGTTCAGTTACTTCTGGAGGCAACCCTTGAGCAATTCTGAACCTGCCTATATGAATATAATTGTGCATGTCTGCATTCATTATGGCAATGTTACTTGAATTTCTTAGTTCAGTGTGGAGTAACTTGGGCTTTCTTCACTGTCCTCCTAAAATTCACTCACCACTCAGACTATAGATTGGGGCTTTTCTGCTCACTAAGTACTTATGTACTTTCTTACATACTGATACCACAACCACTTCACTCAAGGTTTTGGTGGAAGGCAAGTGACTTGGTGATCTTGTAGTTAATAGCAAATGTATTGCTAACATTTGCCAATCACCTAAATGGCATGCTTGTTTTTAGCATTGAACTGCTGTAGGCAATTTGGCTGTTTTAAGCCTACTCTTCCATGAAATAGACCACTGAAGTTTTATACTTGCCTTACTTTTCACCCTCTACAAGAAATCTGTGCTGCTCTGCATGATTTCTCCAGAAATGAGTGTCATGGCTCCATGTCAAGGCCCTGTAAAGATGACTTTTTAACTTGTATTCCAATTCCTTCATTAACATGCCATCCTTTTCATACTCTAGCAAGTGTTGGTAAAGTGATTGAGCAATCAAATACCAAGATCTAAGATGAGGTGGATCCCAAGGATGTGCTAAACAAGCACTGAACCCCCTGCCACTTTGTCCATGAGCATAGGCTCCCAAGCACCTTTAAACTGAGATGAGATGCTAACTTGGACACAACCGTCCAGGTCAACTTAAGTTGCAACTTGCTTGTCAAACTCTAATCAGCATTGTCAGATGAGCAACTCAAGACTATGGGTTTCAATTAATTAGCTAATAGCATACTGCAAGTGATTTGGATAGTCTGTCTACTTTCTGCCAGAAAGTAGACATCCTTAATTACCCCAATCCATGAGCTTCCATGTAGCATTTTTCTTTTTTAAAGAATCAGCAAAAGATCTTGGCACAGACTTTGGTTCTATTGGTCATCTATCAGTCTTGCCATGTTTAGCAGACATGGCAAAACCCAAATTCCTGAACTGACCTGGTTTAACAACAAATCTGCTTATTGTTTTTCAGCTCTTCAAACATGTCAACCTGATCAGTTCCGCTGTGGTGATGGCAATTGCATTCCTGGAAGCAAGAAATGCAACTTCTTTAGGGACTGTCTTGATGGTAGTGATGAAATCAACTGCAGGAAAAGTAGGTGAACAGATCTTGCCTTGATTAAACTAGCACCACTACTTCCAATATTCTAACTTTTTTTTTCTCCTGTTGTTGCTCCAGTTTCTGAATGCAGTGGACCTACTGACTTTAGATGCAAAAGTGGTGAATGCATAAACATCACCTTAGTATGCAACCACCAGCAGGACTGCAAAGACTGGAGTGATGAACTTAATGGATGTAGTAAGTGAAGTGTTTTCTAGAGAAACCAGAGGTATTAGAGCAAACAATTTGCTTAACTTGCATTCTATGCTTAAATTGAGATGCTATTCATTGGAGATGAATAGTTCTAAAACTTCAGATGGGTTATATTCTATTCTTACCTAGAGATTTCTAACTTTGAATTGTAATTCATTGTCCTAGTTAACTGAAACTTGCACTCGAGGGCAGCTCAGTGGTTAGTGCTATTGTCTCAGTACCAGGGGCCTGCATTCCATGCTCACCACATGACTGCAAACTCCAGACACTCTTCCCATATCTGGCTTTTGAGTTTCTGCCTTTCAGTCCAAAGATGTGCTTGGGTGGATTGGGCATGCTAAATTGCCTGTGGCCTCCAGAAATGAGGGCTAGGTGGATTAGCCATGAGAAATGCAGCCTTCTAGAAAGGGTGGGTCTGGCTGAGATGCTAAAGGGTCAGTGTGGAATTGATGGGTGAGTAGCCTGCTTCTGCACAGCATAGGGATTCTAATAGACAACCTTTTTTTAAAAAAAATCCTCCAATTTGAAGGATCCCTAAAATTGAAGGGACAAAGGCTAGTCCTAATTCCTAGGTTGGAGTGGAAATAGTTTTTTTTTTTTTCTTGTGCTATAGAATAACCTGTCCCCTTGATTGCAGATGTCCCATGCACTAAACAAATTTCATTCTAGTTGCTCCAAGCATTTTAAGAATGCACTTGATTTGTTTGTTCTACAGATCAAAATGAATGTTTGAAGAAGAATGGTGGTTGCTCCCACTTCTGTCATGATCTTGTCATTGGTTATGAATGTGAATGCCCTACTGGTTTTGAACTAATTGACCAGAAAACATGTGCAGGTAGTAACTTTGTTTCTAACCTCTATTTGGTACCTAGCCAACCAGAAATCACCACTTTTGAAAGCTTAGGGTTTTCTTTTTGAAATCTCAGATGTAAACGAGTGCCTCAATCCTGGATCCTGCAGCCAAATCTGTATCAATACAGAAGGAAGCTACAATTGTGAATGCCATGCTGGATATATCTCAGATCCAGCTACTGGAGCCTGCAAGACCGTAGGCAAGTATGGTGCTTGGACAGTGATACAATCATGTTTGGTCCATGATTTGGTAGTCTTAGTTGTAAACTACAGAATGACAAGCTAAGCACTTTTTGTTCAAGTAGTGCTTTTCACCAACAAAATTACATTTCCAATAATATCTTTAGGAGGAGAGGAGCCATATTTGATTTTTGTAAATCGCCACGATATTCGGAAGTTAGGACTGCATCACCAAGAGTATACACAAGTTGCCAAAGATCTAAGGAAAGCTGTAGCATTAGATGCTGATATTGCAGAGCAGAGGGTTTTCTGGGCTGATGTGAGCCAGCAGGCAATTTTCAGGTAAGATGCACTTTGCTTGTAACTTGTTCCAATACCAGCTGTGCAAAGAGCAGTTCCCTGTGGGTCTATTTTGCTTTAATACTGTGCATTTTATTTTTCAGCATGGTCATGAATGAAAGTGCTGATGAAGCTAGTATTTTCAAGATCAACGGCAACTTGCAAATCCCAGTAGGAATTGCAGTGGATTGGATCTATAAAAATGTCTATTGGACTGACCGTGGGACCAATACTATATCTGTGGCTACATTTGATGGAAAGAGAAAGATCACCCTCTTTGACACTGACCTGAGGGAACCAGCTTCCATAGCTGTTGATCCACTAAATGGGTACTGTACATTGTTTCACTGTATGAATAATACAAAAAGCTGACCTGTACAACACTGCACTCCAGAGCTTTAAATTTCATTCAAAAAACCATATTGGGCATTGCAGATAACCAACCTGCAAAGTGGTACTAAATCTTTGCCAATTTGAGTGGCATCATCCTAATCTTTACAAGGCAAACTAAATTGGACACTGCCTAAATTGCACAAGCTGGTGCTAGCCCACCAAAATTGGGAGGGTGGAAACCACTTTCAATTAGTGTTTAAACAAGTTTAATTGTGGGGAGATTCACAAAGAACAAATGTTACACAGCTTCTTACAGAAGCTGTGGTTGAGCAAAATCACTCTTAAACCATCAGATCCCAGTTAGTCCTATCTGTTTACTAATGTTGGCCTTAAATGAGGCATGACTTGTTTAGAGCCAAGATTGTAGTTTTAGTGAAAGTCAGTATTGGGTGGTGTTGGCTAAGTGCACAATTGAGATTGGAATGCCACTTAGTTTCAACAGTGGTGAGTCATTGGCAAACTTTAACCACATCTGAAATGGCAAATAAACCTGCTGTCCAATGAGCACTTCATGGGCATCTTTCTTATGACTTTTTAAAGGTTTATCTACTGGTCAGATTGGGGTGCCCCAAAAATTGAAAAAGCTGGCATGAATGGTGTTGATCGTCAGATCTTGGTTGCCACTAAGATCGAGTGGCCAAAGGGCATTTCACTTGGTAAGTAATTCATGCAAGAAAGTGAACTTGACCAGTTTTTTTTGAGCTGTATTTAAAAAGCACTTTCCCCCCACAGACTTCGTGAAAAGCCGTCTGTACTGGGTTGATGCAAAATTGCACACGTTAGCAAGTGTAGACCTGAATGGTCAGAATAGAAGAACAGTATTGCAGTCAGAAAAATTCCTTGCACATCCCTGTGCAGTTGCCGTATTTGAGGTAAGAATCTGTGGTTTTTGAGCATGGCCTCTTGACAAGGCCACAACTTAATGTTCCAGTTCTAAAAGTGCTCTTTCCCCCATAAAATTCAACTCCTTGGCTCAAAGCTGCTTTAATGCAGGGTTTTGCACCTTGGGAAGATTGAATGGTAGGGAAGAAACTAGATTTGCAGTTTGCTGTGAAAAGTGGGTATGTTTTACAGAATGGGTAATAGTGTACTCTAGCCATTCTAAAACACTTCAATCAAATCTGTGGCTCTAATTTCTGCTTAATGTTACCAAATTAGGCAATCAAAGGTGTTTATAACTATGTATACAAGATGACAAGTCAAATTTTTAAATTGGCTGAGTTGAAACCTGGCATCTTTACTAATCTCTCCCTCTTTCCTTGTAGGATCACGTATTCTGGGTTGATGCAGACAACAAAGCAGTTTATGGAGCCAACAAGTACACAGGCAGTAATGTCAAAGCTTTGGCCTCAAATGTTGATGCTCAAGATATCATTGTTTATCATGAGCTTATTCAGGCACCTGGTAAGAAACCTGGAACCACATTGTGAAGGCAAAATTTTCTTTATTCAAATAATACACTTCCTAAAATCTCTCCCTTCCCCAGTTTGTATCTGATCATGGCAGGCTTTTTGACCTGAGCAGCAACACTCAAGCAGAAGTACTAAATATGTCATCCATGAGGACTCATCCCCATAAAACACTGGTGTTTTTTTCTGATATCTGTCCCCACCCCTGTACATAACCTGTGTTCCAACTGACATACCTCATTTTGAGGCAATAGAAGAAGGGGTTAAAGGGGCAGGATTTGCTTAATCTAACTAGCTAGAGTTCATAGTTGATATGCAGGGATCTGTTCTAACCAGTCATTCTGTAAACAACTTTACCTGAAATGATCACCTGCCCAGATTTAGTGGATCAATATAGAGCAATGTTTTAGACAACCAGGTTGTCAAATGAACAATGCTGTAGTTTAACTCCTATCCAACAGCTTGTTTGGTTCATAAAGTTAGATGGATGTTGTAGGAGTTACAACATCCATGCATTATAAACATACCCTAAATTGGAGTATACACTTCTAACTTTTTTCTTAACTTGCACTTTTCTATTACCAGGAAAAAACTGGTGTGACCAGAATAAAGTCTGCGAGTACATGTGTCTTCCTGCTCCTCAAATCAACAGCCAATCGGCAAAGTATACTTGTGTGTGCCCAACTGGAATGGAGTTGACCAAAGACGAACAACAGTGTCAACCAGGTATGTTTTTTAACAAAACAACTGCAGCACCTGACATGATCCCTTGTAGCAAACCCTTTTGCCAGGGGCAACATTACCCTGGTTCCAGTCTGACTCACCTATGAAAGTAGGCAGAGATGGTAGAATGTGATTATACATGACCCATCACAGTGGTACATGAAGCACATCTCAAACTGAACAATTGAGTAATTTCAAATCTCACACCTTGTTATCAAAAGCAAGCAATACTTTGTTTTTTAGTTGAAGGACATTGCTTAACCCTAACTTTTCTCCATCCTCCTGCCTGGGTGTAGTGACCCTTGTTGAGCCAGCACCTGTTGTCTGAGGGCCCCAATGGTCTAGTAAGACTAACTGCCTATTGATCACCAGGGGTCAGGGAGGGGAAAATAGTTGGTGCTTACCTAGTTTATAGGTGGCTGTCCATCTGACAGTTTCAACTCCAATTGTCTGTCTTTTAAATTTACACTGAACATGCTGGTTTGTTTTACAGTAACTACACTTACAACAGCAAATGTGTCTACAATGGCTTCCAGTGTTGCCCCTGAATTTTCCTTTGGTCTGTCTACTAAGTCACCAACCATCTTGGCTACATCTAAAGGTAATGGGATAGCATGTCCAAGCCTCTTTAGTAACTGATGACAAGCTATGCTACTTGCTCTGCAATATTTGGCTTTATTCCAGAAAACCACATTGTTTCAAAGCAAGTTTTGAAAGGGGAAGAATTTCTCCTGGTTTTGTTCCTGCATCATGATCCAATGCCTGGATAGGCATTAAATTACAATCTAGTTGCTTCCAAAAACTAAGCCACAGCTAAAAAGGATGAATTAGTGGTGCGGACATATTTGTCAAGGGGCTCTCGCTGTGCATAGTTGACACTTTTGGAAACTCTTGGTATGCTGAAATATTGGCCCAGTTTTTTTTTTCAAAAAAGACAAACATAAAATCTCTTATCACCCCAGGTGTCAAGTCACCTTCCCTTGAAGGAAAGTCAAGAGGATCTACAGCTGTTTGGGTCATTTTTATCCTTGGTAAGAACATTTTGTATTCTTGTCAATTGGCTTGACCTTTGGTCTTAAAGTATTCTCTTAGCTTGAAGCAGTTTATAGGACTTGGCTCCTAAATGTTAGGAAAGTCAATTAACTGGTTGTTTAACACTAAACAAAATTACAAAGTCCCTTTTGGCTTGCCTAACTCTTATTTTTTTCCAATTGCAGCCCTTCTAACAATAACTGGCTTAGTTGGCTACTTTGGTTGGCAGTCCTGGCAAAAGAGAAATGTGCAATACATCAGCTTTGAGAATCCAGTGTTTCAGCATAAATCTGACAATGAAATGAAATAAAATTCCACTTTGGTGTTAACTGGCATCTATTGTCTCACTGTATTAATTCATTTTAACAAATGAGCATCTGATTCTCTAGTTTTCAGCTGTTGGTGCTGTTTATTACAAATCCAGTAACTAAACCAGTTGTGTAGTTCTGCATGTGCATGCAGCTAAACTGGCTCCAACAGGTCCTTTTAGACAAGAGCCACTAAAGCAGCTCCAATGAGAAGGTTCATACATGAGAACTTTTAGAAATTTTTATTGCAAGATGGCAGACAACTAACTTACAAACTAAGGGTCCAGACCAAAAAAAACCAGCTTTCCTGCTCCTTGGCCTGCTGTGTTCATCCAGCTCTAAACCTTGTTACTTCTAATTTTACAAGCAATCAGATTTAATCCAGCTCAGTAGAATTATCTGCACTATTTCAGTTGTGGGTGTATTGCCACTGAGGAAAATGGTGACAAAGATGATTTGATGGTTCTTTTTTACCTGATGTGGTGATACTTGTTTCCTGTAACAAACCAGATGTGAATGTCCATGTTATAAAATAGTCATGTTTGTAACTTGCATTCACAGGCCCAATGTTTGGGCTAACTTTTTTATAGTAAGCCTGCCTTGAGGTCCAGTGAAGTAGAAGAAAATGACACCTAGTCAGGTGGTGTCATGAGCTTATTTGCAGTATATATTGATGTACAAATTTGTACAATAACTCATCTATCTCTAGCCCTACTCTCTACTGCACAGCTAATGAGTGGACTGCCACAGGTCAATAACATCCTGTCACACCACCTGCCCCCCACTATCCCTAACTCAAATACTGAGTGGGAACTTTTTTCTAACTATAAATGAAGTTAATTCTATCCTCCAGCTACACAATGATCCAATAACAATTCAGACATTTTTCCTATTAGTGTGAAAAGCAAGGCTGTTCAGTGTACAAGTGCTGGATGACTAGAGATATTAAGGCTCTGGTCAAGAAAGCAGGTAGGTCTCGTGTAGACACCTAGGATCAAGTCAATCCCTAGACTAAAGGGCAGCTGGAATATACTGAAGGGAAATTAGGTCAGCAAAAAGGACCTAGTTTTGGCAAATGGCATTTGTAGACTCTTTGGATTCTCAAGACCAAAAAGACAAGTCTCTATGGAGAGAATGGGCCTCTTAAGATCATAGTCATCTGTGGAATGACAAGCAAGGTTGATAGTCAGTATTTTCCTGTAGAGAATGACAAGCTAGAGAGCTTGGAAATAGTGATGCCTTGGAACTCATTCCCAGACATCTTTAAAGGCAGACGAATACCTGAACTCGCGCAGGTGTTTTCCAGAACAGAAGCTAGGGAAGAGATTTTCAGTAGTCAGGGTGAGGGTGCTAGAGGTTGACTTAGTGAGAGGCTGTAAGGAAAAGCCTAGGAATTATAGACCAGAGAGCCACCCACCAACAGTGGCTAAGTTTAGAGGGGATTGAGGGACAGGATTTGCATGCCTTTGGAAAGGCAAGTGTCCATTATGGATGGGCAGCATGACTTTGTTTGTGCACAATCCTGTCTGGGTAACCTTTTTTAGGAGATGACAACATATTGAAGACAGCAGTAAATGTTTGTAATGAACTTGTTTAAGGTTCCACATAGTATACTAAAGTTTGATCACAGCAGCTGGGGAGCTAGTCAATTGGATGCAAACTTCTCCAAAGGTAAGTGACAGTGGTAGGTGGCTCTTCCAGACTGGAGGCCTGTGACCAATGGTGTGCCCCAAGGGTCAGTGCTGAGTCCACAGCTTTATTTTGGCCTTGAGTGAATGGATGTGAATAAGGTAGATTTTAAGGTCTTGGATGACAAAGGGTAGCAGACAGTGAAGATTACCTCAGGGCAATGGACTCTCTCCGGTTGTGCTCACTGGGTGAGCAGTGTCAGATGGAGTATAATTTTGAGGCGTTACATCTTGGTAATGCAAATCCAGCAGGACTTGCACACTAATGGTAGGGTCCTGGGAAGTGTTAGACCTGCACCCCAGTCTCTCCAGCAGGTAGTTTGAGTGGTGGATAGAAAGGGTAGTGAGGAAAGCATTTGGTACACTTGCCTCTATTGGTTAGTGCATTACTATAGAATTTGGGACATCTGGCTGTACAGGATACTTTCAGAACACTGTACAATTTCTGAACACCCTGCTATAGAAGGATGTTGCTAGGACTAGTTTCTGCTATAGGGAGGCAGAATAGGTTGGATATTTATCACTAGTGGTTGAAGGGCAGGGCATGGATAGCTTGAATAGCCAATGTATTTTTTTTCCTAGGGTGGGGAGGAAGAGTCCAAAACTGGACAATTCAAGGGAGAAGAAAGGTTGTTCCTCTGGCAGTTCATTCATATAAGCACCACTCTCTTCACATGATAAACTATTACATTCAAATGGCCTCTTGAGGGGTACATGAAAGGGTTGAGGGCTATGGGACTAGATGAGTTCAGGATGTCTGGTCAGTGTGAGTTGGACCAAAGGGTCTTTGTGCTGTATGTCTGATTCCAATGCATCTTGTTCGTTCTTGCCTTCCCCTATAAATCTCTTGCAAACCAAAGAACAAAAGCTTTGCACTGTCCTGCAGGTAGATCAGCCTGATAACTTGAATTGGATACTTTCATGCATTCAGTTTCTAGGTTTTATCCTCTTTTATCAAGAAACAAATCAGTCAGTCTTGGTCAGTTTTTTTTTTGAACACTAATTAGAAATTCCATCACCCTTGGCTGGATAATGCCAAAGACTTCCTAAATGAAATACTTTTGTTCTCCAGTTTAAATAGCCAACTGCTTTTTATTCTGAGCATCTACTGGGTCAATTGTCCTTTCACTTTTTTACACTTGCCATGTTTTAAGACTAAACATACACCAGCCCTGTATGCTAACCTGTTCTCTTCCTCCCCTCTCTCTTCCTTCCCAAACCCCCCAACAATAGCATCTCAGCATTCTGGAACTTTTTTAGTCAGGTAAGCTTCAGTACTTATGGCAAGCACCTTTTCAGTCAGTGTGAGGACCAATACTCCACTCTAGATGTAGTCTAGACAAGCTATGCAATTTGAAGTAGACATTTTTATTGCAATAGAATTTGCATACATAGATTAATGTAGCATTCTATAATGCCTTCTGTACCAGCAATTTGGCTTTGATTTGTGACTAAAGCCATCCATGTTCCTTTACCATCAGCACTTCATCTCATTAAGTATGCTGCACTTGGTTTCTGCCCAAGACTAGTACTCCTAGGCTTTAAGCTCCAATCTTGCTCAGTTATGTTCAGTGTCAAACTTCACTTACACGACTTAGGGCTTTTCCTTGAGCCCTCAGGATTTCCAAGTCCACACTTTCAGCAATTCAAGTGCTGAAAGACTTCAGCCTCTTAAACAGAACTTTGGTTTAGTTGTCTTCACAAATAATACACCTTTTTTGAGTATGGCTCCTTCATCAAACTGACTGCTTGACACTTGAACCCCTTCACCAGCTGTGCCAAATTGCTGCATGACCACTGAAAGCCTTTCAACTTGTCCTCCCCTTGTTGCTCAGCAGAATTGAATGCTGCTACCTAATACTTAAAACACTTAATTTCAGGACAATCATGGAATTACTTTAACTGATGAATGAAGAAAAAAGTTGTCATAGATAACTAGTGTCCAAACAATGATTACCCCTAATCATACTCAACTTAAAGGTTTCAAATGGGTAAGTTGTTCAGAGGACTTTTGATAAAATCCAAATCACCATCCATTCCCCTTCTCAATTTTTGACTGGCTTTGCAAAAAGGAGGTAATGACTGAACTGAGATGGTCAGTCATCCTATCCTTTCTTAACATTCTAACACTTGCCCTGTCCTCTTGTAAGGAACTTGCAGACCTGTTAGGCTTTTTGTTCTTGAACTATGCTATCCATGTTTCTGAGCCATTTGAGATTTGGCAGAATTTTAAATGCCTTGACAGCTGTCTTCCATTTCTGCCCTGCACCTCTTTCCTTTCCTTTTCCTTCCCCCCAACCCCCAAAAAAACCCCACTTGCCATTTCTAAGAACTTGCCAACTTCCAATGTCATCCATTTCTCTAGCAAACACTCTTTTCACTACTTCATTTTCACAAGTCCATTTTGGCTTTCCAGCATTCCTGGAAAAGTTTGTTTTGACCAAAGCATTTGAGTGCATGTTCCTTTTATTCTAGCCTTTGTAAACTTACCTGGCCCAGTCTGTAATAAAATACACTCTTTGCTAATCTTTTAATGGACCCAATGCAACTTCTCACAGGCTTTTGTTTTTACCATTTATTTGTTTCCTGCTCATTTGGGTGTATCTTTAGAATTCTGCTAGCTTTAGACTTGATGCTTCTCACTGGCAATGTGGATTCCTCCTTTCTCACACCCCCACCACCACTTTTTTTTGGTCCTGCCTTGGATTAAACAGATTTGGCTCTTCAAAACCTAAACTAACACTGTCACTAGTGTCATCTATAAATTTTTATTTTGTCACTTTAGATTCAACTGCTCCAGAGCTGTCCTCCCTTGACCACCAAACTTTTAATTACCACACTCCCTTTACCCATATTACATTCTAAGCCTTTATTAATAAACTTGCTGCTCAAGTTGCCTTCTGGTCTTATAATAAATTCAATCTAATTTTCACCTCCACGTCTCCCTGTAGGATTAATTTGCCAACTTAAAGGGCCTCATCTAACTCTATAATGTTTAGTTTCTTCTATCCCCTTTCAATATTTCTCCCTTGACTTTCATTGGATTTTGTTTTGGATTAATTTAACTTTAGATGAAGTGGGGAACAATAATAACGTTAGACTCACCTTTGACAAGTTCTGCTATTCCCATACTGCATGGTATTCAAAGATTATCTAATGTCAGTCATGACACTTGTTGCTTAGTGGAGTAGAATGAAAATGTATTTATTTTGAGGACATTTGACGGTGGACTATGTAAGACTGTTTGGTTATTAACAGCCCTCTGAACTGCTTGAGAATCAAACTGCTATGAAAATTAAAAAATTTAAGCCATTCCTAGTGCTTCAATTGAAACTGGCA